GGAGCAGTGAAGGATGGGGAGCAGGTAAGGATGGAGAACTGGCAGGGATGGAGAACAGGCAGGGATGGGGAGCTTGGCCTGTGTCAGCCTCACATTCCTACAAACTCTGGATCCGTTCATGTGGGGTGCAGCTGCTGTCCAAAGAAGTTGGGATATTTCGTGGAGGGGAGCAGGTGAGAAAACATCAACTAGAATGAAATGGTTTTTCCTTGTGGGCTGTGAATGCCTCTGAACAGAGCAGTTAGATGGATTCTAGGCAAACTGGACCTCCACACTATGTGCACTGCTCCAGAGCCCCTGGTAACTGGAATTCTCCAGCTGTCTGGGAATGCTGCTCAGGATGAGAAGTGAGGCTTTTGCCCCACCATGGCAGCAAAATGCATCTCCCCAAACTGCTGGGAAAGTCCCCAGTGCTGAAGGAAGGGTGTGTGTGCCATACCCACTGCCCAGGCTGTGCTGCTGCCTCAAGTAAGGCAGATCCACGAGATGACAAGTAAGCAAAACTGATGAGAAGAAACACTTCAAGTTTGAAACTGGGCTTCCACAACACATTGGTTAGCATACGACAATTAGCATATGCTAACATTTTTTGTAGCCCAGCCAAGTTTAGTACAAATTAACCAGAAGTCACGTATTTGTATGATGTAATCCTGATTTTGTCACTTGATTTAGGCTTTGTCTAGAACCCTTTTAAATTATCTTGGTCTTGGTTTTTGTAACTGAAAAAAAATCCAGTAATTTGGCTACTTCTGGACTACCTGGATGAATGTAAATGCAGATGTAAAACAAGTATCACAGGCAGCTGATGTGGTTGCTGCACTCAGCTGCCCCTCCACCTTCATCCTGAAGTTTGCTACAAGGAGAACCATATGGGATGTGAGCAGCACCAAACTGTCTGCAGTTTTCAGAGCAGCACACTGAAGTAAGCAGATGTTGAACACAGTCAATTACCAATTTAGCACAGGGTAAGACAAAGTGGTTCAATATCCTGAACATTTGAATGTTAGCATGTTGCTGATGGAGCTTAAATGCAGCTTTTGTGATAACTTGGGATGTTTCTGCAATGAGAACACAAGTGCGAAGAAAACAAAAATTAAACTTTTATTTGGTTCATGTAGTAATGGATGATCATTAAACTGGCAGAGTTCTGAATTAATGTCATAAAACAGAAAGTATCTGGATCCCATTCCTGATATAATCCAGAATAATTTTCTTATTATTTATGTTCCATACACTGCTTTAGTTGTATAAAGACAAAATTATATTTATATTCCAGTTGTCATTTTCCTTTAATTGTAACAGAATAATTTTCCTTAACTAGTTTATTTAAGACAACATCCTGTCTTCAACTTCTTCTGTTAGTAAAGTATTTGTTATTAAGCACATTGGGACAATTTAGGATGTTTTGAAATTAAAACCACTAGCATGCCTTTTTTAATCAGAACTGCAAGGATCTCACTTACATTTCAGAAACAATTCCAAAACTACAGAAATGTTTATTTTAAGGAAGGCTAGAATGTAAAATTCTAGTTGAAAGTTTCAACACTGCCTGCCCTTGAAAGTTTAAAAAAAAGCAGGTGTGTCAGCTCACCTGAGTTAGTTGACAAGGAACTAGAGGCTCTCTTAACATTCAGTAAAGCAGAAAACCTGTTCATTCAATATTATATATTTGCTGCAAAAGCATGTGTTTTCCAGACAGCGAAAATTTATAATAGGTGGTTAGTATGGCCAAGGTATAAACGTAAAAATTTTCCTGACAGAACTGTTCAAATATCCTGAATCAACAAAGCACTCCCACACTGGATTTATGTGTGGTGACACGTCTGCCAGCTCGTCCCTCTGCCTTCTCCGAGTGACAGCAAATACAGTTTCCTACAATTCCATCTCCGCCTCGGGTTCCTGCTCACGAGTGTCTCTCAGTCGTGCACAGTTCTTCACACCTTTGATTGCCCCAGCAGCGGCTGCAGCTGTTCACAGCACAGACCTGCCCAGCTGTGTTTGGACACGTCAGGAGATAAGGCACAGCAGCAGAACTCATAGGCTACGTCCCTAATTCTCTCCTGTGCTAGACCACACTACACCAACGCTGACTTAGTCCTGCCTCCACTCCTGTTTTATATTGTGGTAACTACATACACACATAATTAATGTATTAACAGAAACGAAAGGAGAAAAAAAATTTGAGTTACACATCTTTGTGTAAGACCCACACCTCAAAGCTCAACCACTTGCAGGTGATCCAAAGGTACTAAAAAACGTTTCCGTGGGGGCACTGGGTGAACAATGCACGGACAGGGGAACTCTGTGATTTCACCAGACACGTTTGTGCCACGGGATGTGGCAGCTATTCCCCACACACCAAGCAGTTGATGTGAGCCCACGGTGTGCTCATGTGCCACAGCTCCAATCAATTTGCACACGCAGAGTGGCTCTGGCACATCCAGGCTCACCCAAGCCGTGGTGCATGTGCACTGGGTCCGCTCACGCACAGCCAGCGTTTCAGGAGATGGCCATTTATTTTTTTAGTGGACCAGATGGCAACCTGGCAACTCCAGCAAATGCCACACCAGCCATCCCACTGTGCAGAGATGGTGGCCTTTTCCTTCCCTCTCCCTGCCCCTTTTTCTCTCTACTCCACCCAAGCCTGGGCCTGTATAGCATTAAATGTTTTCAGTTAAATTGCGTTAACTTGTCTGAGTTAACAAAATTCAAAGACATTTTCTTCTGTCAGACAACATGTAAACACATTAAGATCCTGTATGTGAAACTCTATGAGCAGTATGCCCATGCTGTTATTTGCAGACTTCATAACACAAACATTTAACTCAGGATGTATCCTTTTATTTGGCATAAATGAGTACATTTTCAGTGATAGGGCCAAGAAACAATACCAACGATCCAGCTGTTCTCCTTGCATGGTTAAACAATAGGGATGGCTCCATATAATTTTATATGCATGTAAGTGGAGACAAATGTGTTACTTTCTAATGTCTTTCCTACATTATATGAAAATGTCACAAAGGTCTACTTAATTACTCACAAACCTAAAAAAGGAATCAACAAAGGTTTTGTTATGAAATGGTTCTGAAGAAAACAGGCCAGCAAAAGTCATATTTGCCAGAGCATACAGTTTAATTTTGTATTCTGACGCTGACAAGTGAAAAATTGGGGAAGGAAAAGCAGTGAAAAGGTCTGGACTGCTTTATTTTTACTTAAAAACACACCAGCGACTAACATCAGCCCCTCCTTCCCTCTTTGTACCTGTGTGATACCCCAGGCCATTTTATCAAGCGAGAGTCAAACAGAAACCTAAAAACCACTGGAAACGCGCTCCGTGCGGGGCTCCCGGGATGTGTTTACTCGCACCCTCGGGGCTATCGCTCCCCACCACGTCTGCAAGTCCGGCGAAGTTCCCGAACCCGCCCGCCCAGCACGAGTCACGGCGCTGCTCTGCCGTCCGTGCGCGCCGGTCGGTGATTCAGCATCCGCGCCCCGGCCCCGCTCCCTCCGTACCCGCCGCCCCGGCCGGGAGGGAGGGAGGGAGGGAAGGAGGGAGGGAGGGAGGGAAGGAGGGAGGGAGGGAGGGAGAGCCGGCCGGGCTGGGGCCCCGCGGGGGCGGTCAGGGCTGCCCTCGGGGCGGTGCCCGGCGCGGGGGCCCCGGGCCGCGGCCGCGCTGCGCCGGAGCCGCTCCCGCCGCGCCGGGGCAGCGCCCGGGAGGAAAGTCCGGGGCGCGGCCGCTTCCTCGCCCCGTGGCCGGACTTCTCTCCGGCCGCGAGGCCGCGGCGCTCCCCCGCCTCCCCTCGGAGCCCGAGTCCCCGCTGGCCTCCGGGACACGTTAAATCCCGTGTAATGAGGCTTAACCCCGCCCCGCAGCCGGGCGGGCGGGCAGGCAGCCAGCCAGCCGGGCCCCAGCCCGGGGAGCCCCCCCGCCCCCAGCGCCCGCAGCTGTTCCAGCCGGAGCTGCTGGAAAGCGGCCACGCTCCCCAGACTTTGTCTCCCTCGCACACAGCGCTGAACTCTGCTCCCTCCCTCCTTCCCATCCCCCGGGGCGCCCGCGGCTCCCCCCGCCTGCACCGCCCCGAGCCGCAGACGCGCGGCGGGGGAAGGGGGAGCGCTCCCCGCCGGGCTCCAGCCGCCTGCCCGGGGGCTGCGCGGGGCGAGCGCTGCCCCGGAGCCGCGTCCCGCGGAGGGCAGCCCGTGTGCGGCCGCTCGCATGCAGAAGGGGCTTTTCCTTTTCCACGGCGAAATTAATAAAAAGAAATAACGGGGGCGGGGGAGCGGCTGGGGCAGCGGTGCGGGGTGGGGTGCGCGGAGCTCCCCGCGGCGCCGCGTCCCGTCCGCGGCCCGCTCCGCGGTTTCCCCGCAGCCCGGCGCGGCCCCAGCCCAGCCCGTGAGGTCGGCGGGCGGCGGATGGGTGTCTGCGCCGGGGGACGGGCGGCGGGCGGGCGGGGCAGGCGCAGTGTGGGGCCGCGGCAGGGGAGGAGGAGCAGGGCGGTCGGTCGCTGTGTCTGTGTGTCGCACTGGCGGGGGGGAAGGGAGCCGGGGAGGCGGGGGTTACACACCAGGGCAGCGCCGGGATCCCTTCTCCACCCCGCGGGGAGGGGGCAGGGCGCCGCCTCCTCCTCCTTCCTCCTCCCCCTTTTTCACCCTTCCTCCTCCTTCTTTCCCCAAAGTTAAACTTCCTGCTCCCGGCCCGGCTGGGAAGGGGACGCGGAGCCCGGCCGGACTCAGCCCCTCGACACACACAACAGCTGGAGCTGTCAAAACTTCCTCCGCTCGGCCTCGGCCCCCGCCGCCTCCGCCGCCGCCGCCCGCTCCTCCTCCGCCCCCGGGGGCTCTGCGCGGGGGGAGGGCGCAGGGCCAGGGTACAATGAAGCGGCGGCCGCCGCAGCCGGGCAGCGCAGCAGCCGGAGCCGCCGCCAGCGCCCGGGGCCTCTGAGCGGGGGCGCCCAGCGGCGGGACCAGCCGCGTCTCTGCCGCTCGCTCTCTTCACCTCCCCCAGCCCCGACAGACCCCGCCGAGCCCGGGGAGGGTGTTATTGTGTGTGAGACCCTTCCTTCCGTCCTCTGCGCTTTCTCTTCGCCCCCCCCTTTCCCTCCTCCTCCTGCTCTCCCCATGCTGCTCCCCCTGCTACCTGTGCTGGTCGGCGGCGGCTGAGGCCAGCGATGCGAGGCGGAGGTGGAGGAGGCGGAGGTGAGGAGGAGAGGAGCCGCGGGAGCAGGAGGAGCATCGGGATCCCCATCACCATCCTCATCTTCATCCTCATCATCATCATCCATGTGTCTCTCTCGTCCTGCTGACTAGGATGTCAACGGAGGACAAGAGTCTGGTGGTGGCGGTGGTGGAGCCGCCTCAGCAGCAGCAGCAGCCCCCCGAGCCTGGAGCTCCCCCCCCAGCAGCAGCAGCAGCAGCCACAGACAAAAGACCTAGGGGCCGGCCTCGCAAAGATGGCGCTTCCCCTTTCCAGAGAGCCAGAAAGAAGTAAGTTCAGCGTTTGTGTGTGCGAGGCAGAGAGGGGCCGGGGCAGGCGGCCAGGCGCAGGCAGAGCTGTCAGTGGAGACTCGCTACTCGCCCCCTCCCTCTGCCTAATGCCATTTTGAGAAGGGCCCTTCTTTCTTCTCCTCCTCTCCCCTTTGCACTTTCCCCTCCTCCTCCTCCTCGTTTTTCACCTTTGTCTTCCTCCGCCCGCTCTTCCTTTTCCACTTTTCTTTCACCATCCCTATTCCTTTCTTCTCCTCCTTCTTCGGAGTTTCTCTTTAGCTCTTCCCCCTCCACCCTCTTCCTCCTTTTCCCCTTGCCTTTGCACCTTCCCCCTTCTTTTTGGGTCCGTTCCCTTCCAGGACGCTCGGCTGCCTTCAGCGTCGCCTGGGTAGTCCCTGTGCGCTGACGGTAGTTCCTCGTCGCTTTCCCTTGTTATGCCCCCCCCCCTCCCCTTCTCCTCCTCTTTTTTGGGAAGGAAAACACGGTTCTGGGCGGGTGGCGGGCAGGACACCCCCGCGCCCCCGCGGAGTTGAGGCAGGAGTTTCTCGGCGGCGCGGGGAGCTGTCAGCGGCCGCCGCACGGAGGGACGCGCCGGCGGGACGGTGCCGGAGCACCGCAAACCCGCGGAGCATGGCGGGGGAGCCGGCTCCCGGCCGCCGGCAGCTCTCCCTCCGCCGCGGCCTCTCCCCGCCGGGGGCGCGGGCGCTCGCCCGCCCCGGCGCCTCCCCCGCCCCGCCGGGCGCTCCCCGGGGGCCGGCCCGCTCCCGCAGCCCCGGGCGGGGATCCCGCAGCCTCGGGCGGGGATCCCGCAGCCCCGGGCGGGGATCGCGCCGCGCCGCGCTGCCCGCGGACGGAGCGGGGGTGGCCGCGGTGCCCGGGAGAGGCCCCGGCGGCCGCTGCCCGGGGAGCGCCGCTGCCGCGCTGGCTCCGCTCCCCGCGGGTTATTTTAGAGTGGGATGGAGCTTGCCATGGCATAGCTGATGGCAGCGGTAATAGGGCAAAGCTCCACGTTTGGCCGAGGAGCGGCAGGAGGTGACCAGAGCGGCTCCTGCGCTGTGCGGTCCGTCCGAGCCTCGGGGTTCAGAGGCTGTTCCTTCCCTTTGTTTTGGGGGACGCGCTCGCTTTGACAGTGCCGTGTTTGCCCTGGCTCTTCCTTAAACATCCTGGCCCATCCCAAACATCATTGTTCATTTCCGTGCCAGAATCATTTCGGTTGGAAAAGACCTTTAAGGTCAAGCCCGACCATAAGGTCACGGTGGAAGTCCACAATATGACAAGGGATTCTGCTGGGCTGGACCTAAACACATGCAAGGACCGTGCATCTTTTATATGAGTTCGTTTTTACAAATATATAAGTATCCCAGGACAGAACTATCATTAGTTTGGGATACATGATTTTTTGTTCTTGTTATTTCCATTGATGAAAGTTTACCTGCAAAGATTTTCATGTCACCTCTGGTTTTGGGGAAGGTGTGTTGTTTCCAGCTCCCTCTTTTCATTATCTTATGTATTTTCCTGATAGAATTTTTAATACAGCTGTCGTTGAAAGTAGTTGGCATATGTACACGTGGTGAAGTTCTTGCGTTCATCTCCTTTATGCTTAGTTTTACATACTTTGGTTTTATTTTTACTTACAGAATCCAAACCTTACATAGGAAACCTTTGAATGTTTTATTTTGAAGGAAATTTTTCTGAGGAAAAATCCAAATGCAACTGAAATGTACCAGTCTACACAAAAAAACCCCTAAATAGTGTTATGTGTGAAAATTGGCATATCTTGTTAGGCCAGTTTGAGGTTGTGTATGCACTCTTGAGGAAAAAATGTATGTGTTAAAGAGGTAATTCCTTGCCTTCAGATAGGTTTTTGGTGTCATGGGAATGTTGTTGCCTAGGTTTTGGGAGAAATAAAATATTCCTGTAAAATATGAACTTATTCTGACATGATTATAAGGATTTATGTAAAAGTGGGAAATTAAATTAGCTGAGACAAAAATTAAAATGAATCAATACTCTTTTTGTTCACACTGATTGTTCCTGACTGACATGGTGCTCTCTGTCCTGCTGCATCTTTCTGCAAATCCTGTAGTTTTGGTAAAGGCATTATGCTTTTGAAGTCTTAAATGCTTTTGAAACCAGAGTTTTATAAAAAATTGTTTTTTCTAGCAATGCACAGCATAGGTGTAGTCTGGTGGTTTGCCGTTGCGTCCATTTTGGGAAGAAAATGGTTTTATTTTGTAAGTTTTCCTTTTACAAAATACAGATTACAACTAGCCTAGCAAATACAGAAATGAGACAACTAAAACTATTTTCTATTTTTTCCTCAGAGTGCTTGGTCTTGTCTTCCTTTTCACTTCTGTGCTTTCCAGTTGGATTAATGTGCCTCATGTAAACCAGATAAAAGAGCATATGTCAGACCATTTTCTGTACTGTAATCACATGTCTAAATCACTATTAGCCAGTCAAATTGTTCAACTGCTTTATCCCATTATAGGAAATGTTCCACTGAATGTTCAGTCTAAGTGCAGTCTAAGTAATGATAAAACGAAGAGAGAGCCCTGCATTAAACTGGCAAAGCCAGAATAGAATAATTCCTCAGCTCTGGATGCCTTCATTAAGCAGCAGTGCCATATTGGAGAGTGCTTTAGGTTGGTACTTTACCTTCTTTGAAGGCCATGTTTTTAAATAAATTTGTTGAGTTTAAGCAGACAGATGGAAAACTGCCTTGAGTCTGCTTGTGTGAGATGCCAGGGATTCTCAGCTCTTCCCAGAAGTAGGCTTATGTTAAAGGAGCAGAGGGTCCTTCAGTAGGACAGTGCTTGCCCACATCTCATTCTGCATTTTGCCTGGTTATCAGTAAAAACTCCAGTGGTGCTATGGACACAGATAAGTACAGGGAACAGTGGAGGCTTCCTGTAGGTGAAGAACTGGGAATCGGTGTCATCAGTACCTGGAGAGAGGTACAGATGGTAGAATGTGGTGCTAGAGCAGCCTTTTATCATTGTTTGAAGGATCTAGCTTCATGTAGCACTGTCAGGAGAGTTAATCGTAGGTGAACAGTTCATTTTTATTATTTATATTGTAATTGTGCCTAGAGGCCAGGGCACCATTACACTACACGCAGTACAAATGCATAAGCAAAGGTTGTTCCTGTACAAACAATTTCTTAATTTAAATGTAAAGATAAGACAATATGTCAGTGTAAGAAATGTATTGGGAAAGCCCAAGGGAGCTGTGAGAATGCTGTGAGCAAAAGAACATGCAGAAGTTCAAGTACCCTGGCTACCTCAGCATTGGGGAGTGATGCACAGGCATCCAACTTGGGGGATATATTTAAAGCAGGGTAGCATTGTCACCCTGAGGATTTTCACAGAAAGCTGCTTTCCTGCCTGAACTGCCAGGCCAACACTCCTGTTTTCTTCCTTAAGCTTTAACAAGGAGGTATATCTGTACAGAACAGCAACTCAAATTTAAGAGGTGGAGCGAGGACAGGCCATGCAGAGCCTTGAAATTTAGAGCAAGGAGGTTGTTCATGCTATGGTGCATCAGGGAGAATACAGAGAACTGTAATCAAAGCAGTAAATGAAGAAAATATTTTTGTAGTATTGCCTTTCTGCCTTAAAAGGTAGAAAGACTGAATTTATAAAAGTTGAAAAAAGGTAGTAAAGTTGCATTACTAAAGCTGGGACATGATGGAGAAGAAAGAAGCTTTCAGATGCACAGGATTGTAGAGGAAAAATGGAAATTAGGTGCCACTTCTCTGTATGGCCTGAAATCTTGGGAACTTAACTCTTGCTTGGATTATACTTTAAGTTCCAGAGTAGGGAACTGAAGGATAGGAATGTGGTTGAAAAGAAGTTGTAGAGGACGGGTTCTGTTTTAACTGTGTACAAACAGCTGGTTGTTCATGAAAATGTATCAGAATAGCATTGTGCAGGTGCAGTGAACATTTTTGTCACCAATTTAGATAGCAGAGCTTTCTTAATCTCTGCAGGTTATAGGCAAGACAAACAGATGCAGCTTCTTAGCAAAATTTAGTAGCAGAAGTCTCATTGATTGTGACCCTTTATAGATCAGTGTCTAAGCTCACTTTAAACATTATTTTCAGCATCCATCAGATCTTTGTTACAAGTTGTTTTTGCAAATGTGTTCAGTTTAAAGCAGTATATAATAATGCTTTCAAAATTGTAGAGAACATTTTGTGTGTCTTTTTAAATTACCCATTTAAATTACCCATGTTTTCATTTCTGTAGTTTTCATTACTTTGGCCAATGTAAACTGCAGTAGGTTTTCAAAGGCCATTGATTTCACATGTGCAGATAGTTTGAGGACCTTTAAGCATAAGTGTTTTTGCTGGGAAGTGATTATTTGAGAATTTTTATCATCACATCAGTTGCATTTGCATTAGGATAGGCCAATATTAAAGATACCTACTCTCATTTCGAAAGAGCCTTAAAATGTTGGATGGAGCTTTATAGCTCAGCTGTGTTTTTTTAGTTCATCACACACCTTCTGTGTGATACTTGTGTCTTTGCTTGCCTGCCCTTTTCTCAATTCAAAATTTAACATTTGCAAATGTAAGATGTATGTTGTGTTGTAGAATAAGAATGTTCCTAAACAAGATCAGTCAGGGGAGGTCATCCCTACCTGGCAAGACAGAGGTTTTTATGATGGACAAGCTTTGTACAACTGTTGCACAGCGAAGGGTTAATGTATTAAAGCAAACACTGGCCTGTACAAGCCACGTGTATCAAACTGTTTGGCCAAAAGCCAGAAGGCACATAGTGGAACACAGAGTGAGGAGGAGATGAGGTGTGAGGATTGAAGTTGGCTCTTTGCAGAACAGGGCTGAGCTTTGTGCCATTTTCTTCAGCAGCCCATGTTCTGTGACTTCCTCCACCGTATTTGAATTGCCAAGCAATTCCCCAACTGCTTTATGCATTTTTTGCACAGGAGCCTGGCTCACAGTGCTCAGGAGGTGAATGATATCTGTATTAATCTTCAGCTTTTCAGTTCTTGATACGTGCTTGTGTGACGGATAGGGTTTATAGAATTGTTTTGCCACAAAATTGTTAAAATACAGATTTATGTAGAGTCTTTGCTTGTGTCTTAAGGATGAGTGAAGTTCAGCTGAATCCTGGAAATAGATACACAGTTTTCCCAATTTGAAACAGACTTGCTGTGAAGGACTCTGAGACTTTGTTTTTAGCATTTCAGTTGTTAGTTTCTCTGTGTTTGTATTTAATGATCCATTGAACTTGTGTAGCACTTGTCATGAAGGGACTTCCAAGAGCTGTCAGACAGATCAAGTGTGATGGCTGTTTGAAATCTCAACATGCTGGTCACCAGGAATGTCTTGCCCAGTTTCTTGGTTGCTACTCCGAGCCATCTACACACCAGACATCTCTTCATCCTGTGTGCAGTGACACTGGAGACTTTTCCCAGCTTAAAACAATAAAAGCACTTCCATTTTCTTGGCTTTGCTTGTGGATTTTTTTTTTCTTGTT